CCATGCGAGGGTCCCCCGCGGCCCGGGCGAAGCGCGCTTTGGTGTTCAGGCTCAGCCGCACCCCCACCCCCCGCGCGGGCCGGAGAATCCCCTCGATCACCTGCTTTCCCGTCCACAACTCCGTCGGCTTCAGCAGGGCCGGGATCGGCAGCTCGAACGGGGTCCGCGCGCCAAGCCAGTGCGAGGTCATCAGCGCGAACTGCGCGCGGTCGAAGAAGACGTCGCGCGAGGTCACGAGAAAGGCCGCGGTGAGGAAGTCCTGCGTGCAGGCGATGATCGGCTCCCCGTTCTTCGCCGTGATGATGTTCTTCGATGTCAACATCAGCTCCTCGGCCTCCGCGCGGGCCTCCTCCGTCTGCACGACGTGCACGTTCATCTCATCCCCGTCAAAATCCGCGTTGTACGGGGAGCAGCAGCACTCGTTAAAGCGGAACGTGCGGAAGGGCAGAATGCGCGCGTGGTGCGCCATCATCGAGATTCGATGCAGGGAGGGCTGGCGGTTGAAGAGGATTAAATCCCCATTCATCACATGTCGCTCCACGATATCCCCGATAGAAAGCCGCGTCGCCAGAAGCTCCCGATCGCGCGCACCCTGGAGGGATTTGCGCGAGGATTCCTTCGCCAAGTAGACGGTCACCGCGCCGGGGTGGACGTATGGCCCATTGCGCACCAAACGCCGCATGAGCTCGATGTTGTGCGCGAAGACGCGCTGCGGGTAGGTCAAGACGCGCGCCACGCGGAGCGGGACGGCCAGCTCGGAGATCTCCAAGTTCGGATCGGGCGAGATGACCGATCGCCCGGAGAAATCCACCCGTTTCCCGCTCAGATTCCCGCGAAACCGGCCATTTTTGCCCTTCATTCGCTGCGCAAAGGCCTTGCAGTCGGCGATGCGGAGGTGCGAGGGGTAGCCCGGCATGGCGGAGTCCAGCAGCCGCACCACACGCGTCTGGAGCATCTCCCAGTTCTCCACGTACTTGGCGGTGTCGTTATTGCCGTCTTTCAAGGCCTCCGAGCTGACGAGGATGTCGTTGTAGAGCATCGTGAGGTCGTCCTCGCGGATCTCGCCGCCGAGGGAGGAGGGCCCGCTCGGCCGCACCCCCACCGGGGGCACCACCAAGGTGCGAATGAGCAGATCCTCCGGCCTCGCGTCGGATTTAAGGCCGAGCAGGATCTTCTGCTCCGGCGGGATCGCGGTGAAGAGCCGAAGCACCCGCGCCGGGTCGAGAAACTCGTGGATGTGCTCGACATGTCCGGCCAGCGCGGGGTTCTGCTGGAGAGCCGCGTCAAGCTCGGTGCGGAGGAGGAGGCGTGGGTCGTCGTCCGGCCCCAGCGCCTCCCCGCGGCGGCTCTCCACGCGGTACTTCTCGTGGACCACCCGCATCGGGCGAACCCGCCGCACCACCCCGTTTACCCCCCCGCAGGTCAAACACACCCGCGTTTTGTACGCGTCGGACTGGATCTGGCGGACCATTGCGGCCCAGGTCTGCGGATCCGCCGCGGCGGCCGCGGCGGCCTCCAAACGCCGCGTGTAGTACGCGACCTCCTCACGCGTGAGCAGGACGTGCGCGCAGCGCTTGCAGATCGTCCGCAAAATGCGCACCACGGCCGCGAAAAAGCCGACGTGGAAGACAGGGGCCTCCAGCTCGAGGTGGCCGGCGTGGCCCACGCAATCGGCCCCACGCAGCCCGCACGTCGCGCATCGCTGAAGACGATCGCAGACGCCCAGCCGGGGGTCGTTCACGCCGAGCTCCCGCAGCGGCCCGATCACGCGGCGGCAGGGCAAGACGGAAAGACGACGCGCCGCCGTCGCCGAGAGCGCCCCGTAGCGAATCGCCCCAATTGAGGCGGGGTAATCCCGCGCGCCGTCCTCGACGTAGCGCGGCGGGAGGTCGCCAATCGGCTCCTCCATCCCTTGTCGGCCCTTGCAAAGATTCCCCGCCGCCTGATCAATCGCCCGATCGAAATCCGGCAAGCGGGATGGATAGAGGTCGAGGGGTACGGCTGTGCACTCAGCTTAAAACTCACCCCCACCCCCTGCCCTTTCGTTCGCAGCCTCGCCGCTAATTGGGCTTTGTTCGCCGGTTGTGCTTAGGATGAGCAGTTGTGTTAGATCTATCACTTTATCTACCTAAAAAAAAAAATAGATAGATAAATAAATAGATATAACTTATCCTGTAGGTCCTAAAAGAAAGGAAAGGCGGCTTGAAGTTGGGGTTAAAATCACCGAAGCCGAGAAGTGGATGGGAGGAGTAGCACGTTTGTGGGATGTCTAGCTAACTATTTTAGCTTTCCTTTTTCCTAAGTTGATGATTCGATTGATCCAACGATTATGATTCTAAACTCAAAGAAGCAAAAGGGGAAAAAAAGCAACAGGGGAGTTCCTCCCCAAACCTTTCCTTCTTTTTCCTTTTAGAGCGTTCACTAAAGTGATAAGATTAATATAATAAGAAGAAAATAAGTTAAATTTCCATCTGTCTTTTAAGCATTTTTATTAGATTTGAGCAACAAAATCACCATATTCCATATGAGTATAGAATATATACAGATTTTTTCTTAATATCGCATACTGGAATAAAAAATTTCTTTTATAGTTAAATATCATGGAAAGGCACAGAATTTAACATTCAAGACAACCGCATTTTATTTTTTTCCCGCTTCACGATAGTGTATCATTAAATACGACCGTACGAAAAAGAAAGGTAAAGTAAATTTCTTAATAATTGATATGAACGATTCGATTAAAAGTGAAATTTATAAAATGCTCACACTTACCTCAAGAACTCCTTTCATCGACAGAAAATATAGTGAATAATTGAAAACTAAGACATATTTTTTAGATGAAGAGTATAGAAGTGTTTCTAGAAACTCTTTCTCGCTAAATTTCCCTACCCTCAACATACACGCAAACATACAGAAAGATGAGTTAAGAAAAGGCTGAAAAGAAAAGGTGCATCAGGTTTTTATCTTATTGGTTCTTGTCATGCACACTGAGACCATTATTTTTCTTCTTTAATCAACTCAATCCTCCCTTTTTATTATTATTTTTATTTCATTTAATTACACCCAAGCCATTCCAAAATTGGCATCACCTTTTGCTTCATTTCCGCATCCAACGCCGGATCTACAACTTGCTTGGATTCCTTTTTCGTCGCCCACGTCATAATGCTTGTGTCCTTCAAAATCCCCTCAATATAGAGCAAGAAAATCATCACTGCCAACTTATCTGAGTTGTAATTCTGCGCACAGGTTAGCTGGCATTGCTTCAGAAACGTTTTCTGTATCCTCGCCTCGCGTTTCCGTAGCTCCGTGAGCTCCTTCTCGTCATGGGTTTCCTGTCTCGAGAAGAGCTCCGGGACGGTATTAAACCGTCGTAATAGGAAAGAATATTGCTTCATTGTGGAAAGCAAATTATCGCTGTTGTAGCTCGCCATCATGAGTATAATAAACGCCGGGATATGCGTTTCACTAACGTTGTACTCCGACATCAATCGCACCACACGTTCGATCAGGAGACTTCGGTTCTCCCCGCATTCTTTAAACACGCGGGCGAGGACGTCAATGACGTTTTCGCGGTTATCGGTCAGCTCGGACTTCGCAAAGGCCCGCGTTTCCTTCTCCCGCAGAGGCGATGAGATGGCTGCATTTGAATTATTCATGCTGTTCGCATTATCTGCCGCACCATCCGCGGCGTCGTTTTGGTCAGATTTCTTTCTGGCCTCGGCGGCGCCCTTGGCGGCCTTCGCTAGCTCCGGGAATTTCTTATAATGCTGCTTCATCACGGTCAGGACGCGGTGGGGTTCCATCACGGAGCGCTTTCCGCAGGCCCCACAGACCATCGAGATATCTGACGCGTCCTTATGGGAGCCCTCCAACCCTACCGAGGTCTCAGGGTTCCCGCAGCCCTTGCACAGGACGAGTTTTCGAATGAAGTTGTCGATTTGCCCCTGCATACGCTCTGCGGAGTGGCTCCCCATGAGCAGGTACTTGTCATCCTTCTCCGAGACGTAGAGCTGGGCGCCAAGCTCGAACTGGAGGAACTTCATCAGCACCTTCTCCGGCCGGTTCATCGCAAGGCAGATGTCGTGGATGTTCGGAATCACCGTCTTGATACCGTTCCCACTCCCCTCCACCTTCGTGATCACCGCGGGCATCTTATAGCGATAGTAGATGTCATCCCGTTTGTCGGGGTTCAGCGCAATCATCTGGGAGGCCATGGTGCTAACTTCTACAGTTGTTGTGGCTGTGTTTGTTTGTCTGTGCCTGTGTCAGTGGATGCTACTTAGAATGAAGTGAAATAATAAATGCGACTAAACGTAAATCTAAGGAAGGGGAAGGTGTGTTTAAGGCATAGCAAGAGTAATCCTTCAGGCTTGGGCATGTTGGTTTGTTCCAGCACAGCCCCATTTTCGTTGTTCGATGTTGAATAAAAACGGGTGCAGTATTTTTGGGGTTTTTAGGGAGGGACCTCAATAAAATAGCCTCGTCGAAGCAGACATCTTTGTCAGAAACAAGGTAGCGAAGCATCTGCATATATCGTTATTGACAAGAAAGATGGGCTCCACATTAGCAGAAAGAATCAAAATAATAACGAAAAAAAGGCTAAAAGCAAAATTGTACATTCTTCACAAACGACAAAAGCGCTTCCCAGGGTGTTTTTCCATTTTGATACAAGCCACGTTTCTTCTATTTCCATTCATTTATTTATTCAAAATAAATGATCATAGAAGTCAAGTTGGCCTGAATCCAAAGATTTAACCAGTTCCGATGCTGAGGTACACTCAACGCAGAGTTGCTGAAGATACGAAGGATTAACACGATCATCGTTTATCTTCATATTATCATGGTTATTATCTCTCTCCTTATCATCCCTGCGTTTCCGCTCAAAGAAGGCATGTAAAGCAGTGTGAATTTGCTCAACCTCCTGCTCTGTTAACGTTTCCTTTGAAAAGTAATACCGAATCATTTCTACGGATTCCTCAAAATTCAATCCCTCCATCGGAATTTTAAGCGTAATCACCCCGGATCGTGATGAAAACGAATCCAGCCGTTCAGGGTAATTTGTTGTGATCACCACCACCCTCCCCGCCGGCGTTGACAGGTCATTTAAAATGCTCAAGACACTATTCAAATTAAGCGAGCTACCATTATAGTTATTAGGATACTCCTCGTCCATAATTACGCGCGTAAAATTATCTCGGTTGTTCTTTCCCTCTCCGCTACTCCGATTGGTGTTCAGATCCTCAAAAGTTGAAGGGTTTCGCAAATCCGCGAGATACCCCTTTTCCTCGGCCGCATCTTCGCATCTTTTGAAGTCTTCCAGCGAATTCGTCGTTGGTAAAGTTCGCGGTGGACTGGGGAAAAATAGCGAATTTCGCCTTTCGCCGTCGTGCTGAATAAAATGAACCCCGGCATTCATCGCGTCGACGTCCTCCACCAAATAAATAACCTCCCGCGGGTGGAGAGTGAGGAATTTCTCGCAGGAGGTCCCGACGGAATCCTTGCAAGAATTATCCGAGGATTCGTAATACATGACGTTTTCCTCCCCGGTACACCGCACCACAACGCGATCCATCCATGTTTTTAGCGAGGATAAGGTTTGAAAATTGCCAAGTTGGAGAATCACCAAATCCCGCCCTAAATAACGTGCAATGGCTTTTACCAAAGAGGTCTTTCCCGTCCCAGGGGGGCCATGAACGAGAAAATTAAGACGCTGCGGCGCGCCCGGGACGGCAAATCGTCCGGTTTGATGTCGAAAATCATCCAAAAGGCGTAAAATGGTATTTTTTTGCGAGAAAAATATCGAGTTGAAGGCCTTCCCAGGCATCCCGTCCGAGGGGAAAGGGTAGCGGCGGATGCTAAATTGCGGCATCTCCGCCAGGTTGGGATTATTATTCCTCTCACGATCTTCTTCGGCGTTTTCGTCCTCGCAAGGCTTGAAAGTTTCGTTTGTACGAATGGGATAGGCAAGAAAAAGCGCTTTTCGGGCGGGATGGAAGGTTTGATTTCGATACCACAGCTTCGCCCGGCGTAGGAAGGAGTTAATGCGATGTCGGGGCATCAAAGGATTGATCACCTCATCCTTTTGGATGATATCCCGACCCATCAAACCCTCCAGCCCGAGGTGTAATCGTCGCCGAAACGCACTAAGGCAATCGCGAGATTCTTGCCAACCGACAAGATCATAACAGTAGAACGAGATATGTCGTGGAATCACCCTTTCCTCCCCACTTGCATCCTTGTCTTTGACATCAAATAACGTATCGTGCACCTCATTTTCCGAAATCGCCTCCTCGGAGTCGCCATCGCTGTTATTTGGGGAATCGCCACCGAAATTATTTCCCGTGTTGTTGTTGTTGTTGTTGTTGTTATTGATACGCACCACCTCCGAGGCATTGTGGGTTGGATGACGCGATTGATTGCTATTCATCTTGTCAAGTAAATCCCCCACAAGAATTCTTTCGGCCACGTTTCGTGAGGAATTCGCATTCCCCCCTTTCTCTTCCTGAGGCGAATCGTCTTTATTGGGGCCTTTGCTCTTGTTTTCGGTCGGTGGGGGATCCTTCGCTGTGTGCGAATAATAAATAAAAAGACCAGGCTCCACTTCCAGAGCGCAATCCTGCGCGGGAACTAACGACAGACAATAATTTTGATTTAAATAAGAAGCCAAAGATGCGCCAGTGCCCTTCATTTTTACATCTTTAGAAGGGCTGGAATATATAAGGTTGGACCCAAAGGAATAGTGCGTAATCGGAGCGTATTCAAACGCAGCGTAGCGAAGATTTTTAAGCTTCGGGAGCACATAAGGAAGAGAACCCATTTCTTTCAAATCTTCCTCATTGTTGGAAGGATACTTGGGATCGGAATACGGAATTCGCATTCTTCCACCACGTTCTATGGATTGGCCATCACACGAAATACGCGAAGCTTCCCCGAAGGTCGCCAAATTGGCCAAATATCCGACGTAGGCAAGAACCATATTAATCATAGTCTCGTTATCGATTAGCCGATTAATACTCGCGGCATGTCGGCCACCTTCCACCTGAACCCCCGCCACTTCCCGATAAAAAAGCGTTCGGACAAAATAATGATCCAGAAAGACAGCCCACCACTCCGAAAGATATTTATACACGACATTAATCATGCGTGGTAATAATGAGGCTAAAAGAATATCAAAAAGGACGGTGTCCGCTTGAAGAGTGCGTAAAATATCAATAACAGCATATATCAAGTTCATAATTTTTCGCCACATCCTCAGGAAATTTTCATTTATCTGCCTTTATTATCTTTTATTATAAATATATATATATATATATATATATATATATATCCTATACACCCTATAATATCTGAACTAGAAAAGGATGCTATAATATAGCATTGTACACAATGCATATAAAGTTATAGAGGGAGGGGAAGTTGTAGTTTTTTTGTGCAGGTGTGAAGGGGTAGGGGGAATTGATCCTCTCATTTTGTATTGAACTGTACTAATCTAACGTTATTTAAAGGCATTAATACAGTTTTGGAGTATAAATTATATAGGGGTATCAATGCTTTTTTATTGTAGGATACAACCAAAAACTGAAAAAAACAGTAGATTGCCGATGAAGCGTCAACTAGAAGTAAGAAAATGGAATGCAAAGAATGCAAATATGCTAGAGCCCTTGCTTTCCTCCCTTTGTTCAAGGATATTAAAAAGGGTATAATTTTTTCAACCAACTGCTCGTGATTTTAAAGTATTCCCTGTCCTCCCTCCTCTTATTGTTTCAAGTTCTTTTGTTTGATAGTTCTCTTTCTTTGGCTTGACGGACGAGCGGCAAAAAGACCAGGGCCACAAGAAGGGGAAAGATGGTGGTGATTTCACCAAAAACCTTCACACTGCGCCCGTCAATGCGGATTTTCCCCCAGGAAACGGCCTCATCGGGCCGCGCACCGGCATCGGAACCGTCGAATTCGTGCGAATTACTCATGTAAACGGCGTAATCCGCGCCATTCCGCATTAAATTCGCGTTTGCGATATGATGTTTTATCACGCCCCCACCGCAGATAATCATTCCGGTGCATTTGCTAAACATCGCCATCCGATTAATTAGTGAAAGATCCCGTACAAGGTCTAATTTAAGTAAAGTAGAAAAAACATTGGGATTATGGTTAAGGGTATCATTTTTATTGGTGATAATATAATCAATAATATCTCCATCCGCAAGGGAAGGTGAAAAAATAGGAACCTCCTGGAGAGCCGCCCAGTATAAAGTCGTGCTGCGAGCGCGATGGATGGCTTCTTTACGAATGGCATGGCATAATTCGGAATCCGCCTTGTTTTCCGGATTTGTGGTTGAGATTGTGCGTTTGGCAACCTCCAAAAGGGCGTCCTCCATGAGATCCTCCAACCAAATCCCTGCAAGCGCCCATATCTCGCTCGGAGTGATCGCGCAGAGGGTATTAGGGTTTGAGGATATGGTATTCGTTTCTTTTTGGAGCCTTTCCTGCCGTGCGAGGAGCGCTGCGATGAACTTCCGCATGAGCACGTCAAAAAGTGAGACCCTTCGGATCTCGGAATAATCCTTTTCCACGTCTTTCGCCCCTGGATCGCTCGACGGCACGCCATAAATGATGTTTCCAAATTTACCACTGGAACTCATCGCGGTTCTACATCGAGCGCCTTCTTTAGGTCGACTTCGTTTATTGGAAATTTCTTCGCTAACGTACTCGGTGATACGGTAGGCCTCACACGCGCGGCGTAGATCATGCTCCATCCCGCCACCACTCACAACGATCGCGGAGAGAAAACTATAATTCAACGGCTGCTCTGCCGCCGAAGAAGAATAAAAAGAAGAGTCCATACGGCAAGATCCCGCGGCCTTCTGATCCGCTTCCGAGATGCGTTCTTTTAATCCCTCGAGGTCCTCCTCCCCGCGATCATTGCGTAGGTTCGTTATGAGCTCTTTGTACGGTATTCGCCGAAGTGATTTAAAATCGATCGCATTATTCGGGTCGATGTCTTCTGAACATTCCACCGCTTTACCATTTTTCGCGCGTGGTTTAACGCCCTCCTGAAGGAGAAACTGCAAAGCCTCCCGACAGCCCGTTCCCAGCAAATTTGCCGTCATTCCTAGAAAAATGGTGGGGTAAATGTGAATTTCCGAAGAAGACAACGTCCCTGAATGGGCCTGCGAAATATTTTTTCCCTCCGCTTCTTCAGGAGAAGAGGTTTCCAGGCAGGACTCGACGAACTCTCCCTCTTTAAAAATATAGTTTTTGGAAGGGGGCTGCGGCTCGAACATGCGCTGCGTAATCTCGCAGGCCTGGGCAAAATGGGTCGCCTGAAAGCCAAGGGTTTTGTAATAGGATAAAATGTGCGCCGCATTGCTAAAATCCCGGGAAGGTCCAACTACGGCTTGGGTATTTTCAAGAGAATCCACGGCGTGTTTGGAAGACGTGAATACAATCGCTTTTGCAATATCAGCCATCTCAAACAAAGAGAAAATCCTAGAATAACCTAAAAAAATGGTAGTATTCTGGTATGATGATTCTGCTTTGGCAACTTATTAATATTTATCGATATATCCTTATAAAAAAAAGTAGTAGGAAAAATACTTTAATCGTCATATATAGCATGTAAATTAGTGCATTCGAAATGTATGGAGAGTATGACATAAAACTCTAGAGATCCACCACTAGAGCGAATCAGGAAAGACAAAAAGTTGTCGATGCTATACAATCATAATAGGGTAACAAAATAGGTAAGCCGCAGAATGGAAATCCAAAAATTAAGGAAAGATCACAAACAAGGAATTTCAGTATGATAAAGCTTTCATCCTTAAAGGAAAAGAAGCTGAATACATAAAACCTCAAAAGATGGGTAAAAATCCACAGAATACCTACAATTATGGTGGGAGGTAAATATTGGTTTGAAATATAAACACTATAACTTTCCCCACTCAAAACACAGGAAATATTTCAGTTTTTACTAAATTTACTTGTATTTTAAATTACCATTGGTCCTATGAAATGCAATTTAGTTATTTATTTGATGAAAGCAAACCAAACAAATATAAGGATCCAGTAATGTAAGAATGATTATCAGTGCACTTTTAGATCGGAAAATGGAAGGTGGAACTAAACACCTTAAGAAGTAATATAGCAATGCACTAGTAAAATTTTGGGATACATACATATGTAAATAAATAAATAAATATATTTATTTATTTATTCATTCATTCATTCATATAGGCAACTAATAAAATGTCGGAGTAGTAAACACATACTACGATTTAATTTTTGATATAAAAACAGAAACGCATAGAATCCTTTGACTGAAATTGCTGTCTAATGGCACCTTATGGTATTTGGGATTAAACTTCAAGAATAGAAGTTCATGTGTTTTAAAATAGCCGTGTTAACACAAAGGTATACACATTATTTTAACATCTATAGAAAGCAACAAATTAAATAGATAAAAATATTATAAATAAAAAAGACAATCACTTGGGTATAAAAATATTATACTTTCATTCAGTTAACTATAAAAATAGCCACAAATTTTATCAACATAAATTGATTGTTTACAATAACTGAAGCTCCTCGCTCTCCTCCAAATGTCGCCAGAAGAACGCGTCTTCTTGAAGAGGATTATCCTTGAACTGACTATCGTCCTCAGAATTGTCTAATTCGCTCATTTTTAGTGTTGAATTATCAGTAAGGATCTGGCAATTAGCCTCGCGATCGGAGCTAGAATCATCGGTGACGCGTTCTTCCTCCTTTTTATTGCTATTCACCTCCACAAGATTTTCCTGAGGTTGGGTTGAAATGCCCGATTGTGGCTGCGGTCTTTGGCGATATAGAAATCTCCGAATGGCGACCAACTCCTTGCCGATCGCACTCTTCATCCAGTTAATAATGAAGGGAGGCACCCAGGCATTTGGGCTCATGCACGAAGCGTAGGTCGCAATTGTATTATGCCCCACCTGTGAGAGCTCCCAAGTCCACATGCAGATCGAGGACACAGCATTAGAGGTGACCTTGTACGATGGGTAGTCGATCGAGCAGCCATAAACGTACCAGGTATCTTCTTCAGCCAAATAGCGCTTTTCCACAAGGTAGATAAGATACCGATTGCGAATTGGAGGCGGGGCGCGGTATTCCTGATATTGAATGGTTATCTCTGGCGTCGGCCTCGCGAGGATGTCGAAGCCGACCAGCTCAGAGCTGTACTCCTGCCGGAAGTCGAAGCGATCGCCGTGGACAGTGTCAAGAAAGAGTGCAGGGGTCGCCCCGCGGAAACTCATCGAGGCCCGTGCAAAGTTATACGCTCCGATGGGAGGTTTTGTCTGGAGAAAAAGATCCTCGCCGTCGGGGTCGGTGAAGGCGACTCGGCGCCAGACGTGGGCAGGGCTATGGAGGAGGTCCCGCGCAGCGTCGAAGATGGCCCCGGCAACCTCGCGAAGCTTCGCGTTGTCGTCGGGCCCCTCCACCACTCGGAGGGGGAGGGCGCAGGGGTAAGGGGGTTTATCCTCCCCTGCGGCAAGGCCCGTCCGCGCAGCCGCGCGATACGCGACCTTGCCAACGGCGGAGACAGCATGAATCATCCCACTCGAAGGAACCCCCCAAGGAGATGTTTCAAAAAGGGAATCCTGTCTGAGCTGGGGAACTGTGTCACAAACACAGGAAAAGAGGAAGGTAGTTAATAGGTGTTGGCACTACTTGTAACAGGGATGGGGAACTGTGCTGCTAACACAAGAAAAGAGGGGGTAGATAATAGAGATCGGCAGTACTTGTAACAGGAATGGGAAACTGCCAAAGGGGGCCCAAAGGACGTTGACGTTTGACAGGAAAGAACGGGGACCTCAAATAGGTGAGGAGTCGGTGGTCCTTTCGATGAGACAAGGTAGGGTTTGACAGGAAAGTCACACCCGTGGTGGCCAACACGAAGGCGCGTAATGAAGTGTTGAAAGATGGGAAAAGGGGGAAAAAATGCGGGATGAAAGAATAAGGATCCTAAGTAAGGGAAAAAGAAGAAGAAGAAGAGAATCATAGGATCCCATTCGGAAAAGCATAAATCGGCAAAATCTGTAGTCGTGAAATTTAGTGAACCATTGAACTGCATTATAAGTGACACAAGCCCTATTTAAGCCTTGGGATCAACTAGTATTCAGGCAATTAGAAATAATATTATGTTAAACAGCCAAGGTTAAAAAGAGGGATTCATCTCAATTACTCGTTTACGGCATCTCGATCCCCCACACTATGCGCAATACACAGCGCAGGGAGCGCATCCACTTTCCCATAATATCGTTTGCCATTTCATTTCGCAGCATCACCGCCATCGTCCGCTCGCGCTGTTGGGAAACTTCCTCCGCCGGGACCTTTTCAACCTCCAAACATCGCTTGTCCTTCGCGTTCCCCCCGTCTTTTTGAATTCGCTCGAGGCGATAATTATAGCGGTTGAACTCCAGCGAAGATAAAAGCAGCCCATTCGCGGGGGCCATCGGGATCCCATAGCGTCGCGTCGCATGCTTTTGAAGGAGTTTTTCTTCTAAAAAGGAGGCCGGAAGACCCGCCGCGAGCATCGCGATCACCGCACCGATCATCTTTCGGATTTGGTTGAGCATAAAACTCTGCCCGATAATTTCGATGCGAACCACCTCCAGTCCGGCCTCACCATAGTTTGAGCAGATATGCTCCAAGACCTCCCGCCGGAGCCTCTCTACACGTTGGATTTCATTTAAATTGTCCTCTTTTTCCTCTTTGGGCTCCCTCCGCTCGTTTTTTTCGTCCTTGACGGCCGCCCAGCGCGCGCGGTAGGCCTCCGCAATCGCCTCGTCTGGGGAAAAAAAGCGCGAAGGCGTCCACGTCTCCAGCGATTCCACGATCTTATCCTTCGGGTGGACGATAAAAGGCTCGCTGACGTTGATTTGTTGAATAAAACGATGGCAGGAGGGGTCACCGCGGCGGCCGCCAGGGGTGAAGTTGTGGAAAGGATGGGTCCCTTCATAACCCCGGAAAAGATCCCGCACGTGTTGGAGCTGCTCGTGGGAAAGACGATAGTTCGCGGCGACTTCGCGCATCATATCAGGCGGGATCGAACGAAAAAGCAGCATCGATTCCATCATCGCAGAAGAATCCGCCGCGTCGACTTCCTTTTCCCCTGGCTCGTTGTTTTCTTTATTGGTTTCGGCGCCGATCGCCGCGTTTGGTGTAAGAAGTTCATCGGAATCCTTTTTATCTTTGCCTGCTTCTGTAGTCACGTCTTCGTTTGGTTCTTCACATTTTCCATCCTCTGTTGGTGATGGCTGATCTTTGTCTAGCGCGGAAAGACGCCTTCGTTTGCCCTTTCGCATTGGAAAGTGTCCTCGCCGTTTGTAAGAAACCGAATCACTATTTCCTTCCTCCTCTTCAGTCCCTTCTAGGTTTCTTGATTCGTATTTTTGAAAACACAAGGTGACATCGGCGTCATTTTCAGAAGGGTAAGAAGAGGCTAGAGATGCGGGAAAAAATCGTGAAACGAAGAGCTCACGCGGCATGAGAGCGAATGTTGGTAAATAATACTCATAGCACCGCCCTCCACAGCAAAGATAGGCATTAAAGCTTCGGGTGACTGGAACCACATCATAAACTACAATATCAGACGGAAGAGCCATGTTAAGTAAGCGTTTCGCCTCTTCATAGCTGTATTTTAAATCATCATTATCGTCGTTGTTGGCCACTTCGTCGGAGAGAGCGATTGTTGTGTTTACTTCCTTCGTTCCCAGGTTGCGATTCACCCCCTCCTGCGAGGGTGATGAGGAATCGCCAAGAGACAATGCCGCTTTACTAGAGCTTCCCTCATCTTTGCGATTTATCACGCAATCATTGCCATTATTATTATTATTTTTATTATTAATTTCTAAGGGGTTCGTTCCTGTCTTTTCCCTCTCCCACACTGCAGCATAGGCGGCGTTATAGGGCAATGTAATATTCGCTGAAACCACATTCCGCAAGGCATGTACGCCCTTATCCGTACGGCTCGCCCGCTCAAACCCGATAAGTTGCTGGACCTTCGAACTTGAAAAGTTCTCCAAACTTATCAAATCGCACTCAAACATCGCTTTTAAAAGCGCCTCCTCAATTGTGGGATAGTTTGGCTGATGATTCCACTGCAATCCGCAGTATTTCTCGCCAATATAACCAAAAACAATGGCGACCTTGCGCTTCGGCCGAAGTGCCTTGAGGCTTGCAGGAACGCGATAATATTTGTACTGAACGGCCCCTTGAATAATAGGTTCAAGAGGAGAAGAAGACGGGCTTGGATTGACGTTAGGGCTGGCTACCTTTGCCGATTCCCCATTTGGAAGAATGGTCATTGTTTTATCAAGATTGTTTGGATCCTCCTCAACGGTTTGATGCATAAGATTAGAAGGATCTACGAAATTAGTAGTTTGCGTCTTTACGGCAGAATGCTCAACACCACGAGCCGAGCTCGTGTTATTTATTAGCCGTGAAGTTGCATCCATCCTTCCATGTTCTGTATGTTGTACCCTAAAAGGGAGAAAAGTACGTAATTAAAGGTGGGGAAAAAGAAAAAGTTTACATCATATTCACATAAAAAGGTTCAATGATAGATTCAGTTCAGATGCTACGAGTATTCCCCGTAGGGCATCTGCTTAAAGCAAAAGAAAAGTTTTTCGTTTGAATGTGTTGTTTTTAGGAATCACAATTCGATTTTAAGTTAAATGTTATCTTAGATTCGCTTTATACGTTACGATGTCATTAAATATTCTGCTTAAACGTATGTATGGGGATGCCAACGGGATGGAAAATGTTTTGCAAGTCTGGTGCTTTCTTCCTTTTTATCTTCATTTTTTTTACAACTCATTCCAGATCGGGTTTGTTTGATTTCGCTATGGCAGGTGCTTAGATCATTATAAACTTCAACATTCAAAGTGACATCTTGGGAATGCAGCTGCATACATTGAAAGGCTAAAAGAAAACAACAGCAATACAATACACAGCAACCTTAAAGTCCCAATTCCAAGTTTTTTTTTCACTTCGTCCTGCGTAACTTCTTTAGTTTTTTTGCTGGATGCTGCAAAAGTGGGCCATTTCTAGTCGATTTCGTTTTAATCTTCTGCTTTTTCGTAACAACGGCTTTTCCTTTCTTTGCTAAGAGCTTACTACCGGCTTTCTTTTTGAGGGATTTACCTCCTTTCGCCTCTAAGTCTTCCTGTGAATTATCGGGTTCTTCGGGGCGGTTCAGCACGAGCTGCCCGTCTTCACCTACTGTGAAGAAGTCATCCTCTTCTTCATTACTATTACCCCAGTTCGAAGCGTCTTCCTCCTTCTCTTCGTCCTCGTCGTTTTCCTGCATCTCTGAAATCAGCTCGCGTCGTTTCGGAAGAACTTTTTTCAACTCATCATCATCATCGCTGTTTTTTCCTTCACTTTCTGCCTCGTTCGCCCCTTTGTCTTCATCATAGTGGTATAAAAGCGCAGGAACGTGCTCAATCGCGTGCGGCATCCCGCGAAGTACACTTATAGCCCCTTTTTCTGTCAAGGGTACCACACACACGGAGTTCAGCGCGCTTTTCTGTACATACCACCGTCCTCGACGGCATTCTTTACTACACGCGATGCTTAAAAGATCGCCGTCCATCGAAAACTGCATCGAGGTCACGAGGGCGCGAATTGGAATCTCACCAATGCAAACCAGCTGCGTCACTTGGCTTGTCTTTCCAGGGTTTCCTTGGGTGGCGGAGTGCACGCCATCCGTGGCCGGGGAGGACGACGAATCCATCGCACTTAAAAAGCTCCACAGCCGGACGACCCCATCATAGCTCGCTGAAGCCACTATGTCCGCGTAGGGTACCACCGCGACGGCGGAAATCGGATTTGGAATGCGTCGATGAGGACTCCGCGCATCCGTCTCCGTTTTCTTCGTCTCCTCGAGGAAGCCGAACGCTGTGTTTTCGATCCCGGTCCCGTCCGCGAGGGAGTCGTAGCCGTGGGCGGCCTCCACCACCGCCAGGGGGCGCCGACGATTGACGTCGAAGACGACCAACGAGCCATCTGTCGCGCCCACGACGATGAGCCGCTCGTTTAGCATCGTGGTGGTCTCCATCCCGACTGCCAGCTCCGCGCGAGAGCCAGACGGCCCCCCTGCGGGCTCGCCAGGGGGGGGCCGGAGGTATTGATAACTCTGCTGCGTCGCCGCGTCGATTCGCCAGAAGCGCATCGTGCGGTCCCCCCCCACCGTCGCGCAGGTCTCCCGGCGAAGGCCGTGCAGGCCGTGGACGGCGCCCTCGTGGCCGAAAAGGACGTCGGCGCAGCTCATCCCCTCCACGTTCCACACCCGCAGCGTCCCGTCCTCGCTCCCTGAGTACAGCGCCGCGCTGGAGAGGCGAAAGCTGAGCCCGGTGACCGCCCGACGGTGCATCAAAAGCAGCCCTTTATGCCGCCGCGTGGAGGTCTCCCAGATGCTAATGCTCCCATCCGCTGCCCCGGCCGCCGTGTAGGAGGTGCAACTCCGATCAACCGTTGTCTTCTCATAGAGATCGCGGGCGGTCGGGCGATTCGCGCGGGTGTCGCTCACCGCGACGGACACCACCGCGGAGGCGAGGGTGGGCTCTAATAAAAACTTGCCCCCCGCCCTGTCTGTCCTCCCCCGCCCTTCGCCCTCACCGTTGGTTGTTAAATCGGCGATGTAGACTTTGCCAGACTTATCACCCAACACAATAAGTTCCTCCCCGAGCATCGCCACTGCCGTGATCGCATTGCAGTTGTGATGGACCCGTAACATACGCAGCTGCGCGCCTTCCTTATCGTTTTCGTTTTCCTTCAGGCCGGGAGGGATCTTCGACAGGTAGGCCGCGATGGTCTTCGAAACGACCCGTTGCTGCGTCCCGGCCGCGAGTCTGGCCTCCTCCATCAACTGATGTCGTTTTTCCTCAAAGAGGTCGGCATCGAGGTCCTCATCGGGGGCGATCTCCTGCAAACGAGTATCGAGGTTCTCCCCGATAGAGCGCAGGAGCGCCGTGGAAGGGTCCCCGCCCGATAGATCGTCCAACGCCGACTCATGGGGCCAATCCCCTTTCGATGCGACGGCGGAGGACCCAGCGGGGGCTTTGCCCGCCTTCGGAAGGCGAGACCGCTTATGAGCGGCCTCCACCGCGGCCATGGCGATTCGCCTGGCGTTCGTCTTCTTCGCGAACATTGGTTGGTGTCACGTCGCCCGACCTTCCGGTTTCTCCGTTAGACACCTCCCCTTTTCTCCGTTACACGTCTACTTGCCTTAACCTACGGGAAAATAACCCAAGAAAAATAAGGGAAAACCAAAGGGAAAATAAAGGGAAAAAGGAGCTCAGGTGAGAACCCATATTGTAACAGATTAGTGGCCCTTGGCCCATGCAGGTGGTGGTGGTGGTGGATTTACCGTGGCGTGGAGGTGTAAACTTGAGTGTGTAGCACGGGGAAGCGGGAAGTCAGAAAATGTGTGCGCCTCCTTTCCCCCTCGCCTCCGAAAAAAAGTAAGAATAGAAAAATAGTGAATGCAGCAATACAAATCCATATATATATATATATATATATTGTCAATCCAACCTAAGTTGTCCCATCCTCTTGAATCCTCATTTACACCTTATCCGATAGTTCTCGGCTTTCCGGTTTCGGTGACCCATCGATTTAGCAGCCGAACCGTCCAGTAAATCATCAACTCAACTGACGTATGCGGCAAGAATACCACCACCACCTCTTTCACCTCGTTTTCCACACCACTCACGAAGTTTGAAAAATGAAAGGAAGAAAGAAGTTCGCTAATCGGACAGCTTCTATTTTGTGGCTCACCCTCCCGGCCGCGAAGCGAAGCCACCGCAGGATGAACTCGATATTGGCAAAGCTGAGAGAGTAGTGAGACCGATGGGTGCGAAAGTAAAACAACGGAGCGTTTTTCAGTACACGCGACGAATAAATCAGGCTGGTGAGGTTCATGGGATGGCAACGAGATGACATTTGGATAGTTTTCTACCTTAAAGTCTTTATCTAGGAAGCCCCACTCCTCCCGCACCCGCAGAATTACCCTAAGATCATCCGCTGAGGAATCAAGATCACACGTCGTAGGATATTGATTTAAAAGAAAAAGATGAGACAGAGAGAGCTCCGAGAGGCCTTTTCCTGAAGTGCTTCGCACTTTCGCAGGAGTTTGAGCCCCGGAATGTAAGGAAATAAGAAAAAACCGCTTCAAACAAGGTGGGGTGGAATGACGATATACCGCCAACGAAGAGGCCGATCGTGGCACCTTTTGATGCGCACCACCCAACAAAATTTGCGTTATACAACTCGCGCGATTCGATAAGCGGGTAAAATCATTCTCGGAGACTGAAATTTGGATAAAAAGTATGTCCTTCATCCAATCCAGCCTGGTTGGTGGATCGTCCGGGAGAGGAGGATTATTACTTGAAATTTCCATCGGACTCGGGGTTGCATTGCGTTGGGTATCTAACGGGCAGCCGCTATAGCACCATACGTAATTTTGAGGATTAAACCCCGGTAAGCAGAACGGCACCCAAATCTCCCCCCCCTGCTGACGATACCGAATTGAAAGTGCGAAATGCATGAGCAAGAGCACGTCCTGCGGCGTAATTTCCCTCGCGGGGCTGTTATCCGCCACGCAAGAAAAAAGAAGACGCCCTCTGAGGAGGAAAAGCGAAAGAATAAAGCTCGGATTTGTCATCCGCTCCTTCTCAACTTCTTTTTGGAGATCGGAGAAAAAGGGTCGGACTGCGCGAAGCGCATCGGCGTCGCTCGCAGAGCGGTAAAACACATTTACGGAAGGCACCGCACCCAAATGAAAGGAAAAGCTGCTTTGTAAGTTGTTGATAAGATCGCGCAAAATGGCAAAATCCGCCGTGGCGTACAATCGGCGGGCATCATAACTTGGATTTGCCCGTAGCCGGACGTTGACCTTGGGCGCCACGCTTAACATAAATAAATGCACATACTCCAGTATCCCTGAGCAGAAGGAAAAGCTATCGTTGTGGGTCGACAGGACGTAGGTAAGCTCCTCTCGGATGCTAAAATAGAGATATAAATCCCTGGATTGGGGATCTCTTTGGGATCCCATCCAAAACCTCGAATTTGCAAACGTGATTCGACGGATAAGGTCGGAAGCGGGGGTCTCTATGGACGACGAGGAAGAACATCGCCGAGCCTGCACAAGAACCTGCAATAGACCGAAGAGCGCGCTGAGTGAGGACTCATCGCCATAACGCGTAAAGATGGGCTTTCCGGCGCTAGAAAAAATAAACACATGCTCGTTATAATGTGCTAAAAAATTAATGTCGGTATCCGATCCTACCCTTGAAGTTTGCTTATCCATCAACCAAAGGACACCTTATCACTCCGTTAATCATTCACGCCTTTATGATGGTTGCTAACCTAAGACGCACAGAGTGCTCAATCTTGAGGGAAGAAGAAAATAATACCCACCAAATAAATATTATAGATATAGATATATAAATATATAATAGAAATTAATCGTAGTATAAAAGGATACAGAACGCGCATGTAACCCTTTTGAGATAAAAAAAAAACTATGATACAAGTTGATACGGCGTCCAAACAGACAATTAAAATAATAAAAGTTGAGGAAGCAAATTAATGACTAAATATATATAGACAATAATTTAGTATCACCAAAAACACGAGGTTTTCTGTACTTAGCATTTATTGCACCCCTCCCTCCTCCCCCTTTTGGTTAATAGTGATTTCTACTGTTTCTGGAAACTTGTAGTACAGGGAACGCTTGTGTATATACGTAAAATGTACTTGCAAGTAGAAGGCTTAGAAGAACTTATCACTAGAGAATAGTTTGTCCTTGCCTCCAGCATAATTGGAGGAATAACAATACCAAGGGAATCGTAAGGTCCAGAGGTGGAAAGCAAATCCATCTTCCGCGTCTTGTTCGGAACGAATAGGCTAACATTCGCCCAGGTAAGGGTGGAGAAGGAAGAAGTATCCGCGGCATCTTCAGCATTCTCCGCCTCCTCTAATAACAAAAGACGACAAGTAAAGACCCCCCGCATCACTAGAGAAAGACTTATCGTGCTGTTTTGGAAGTAAATATCATCAATCAAAAGCTGAAAAGGAACCTCAAAGCGGCTGTCAAGGGCTTTTCCAGAGAAAAGCAGCCTCCCACTTAGGGAACGCTCGATAAGGCCATCGCCCTCCGGTGGGATTGGCTTCAAACTCACAGGCTCCGTCGACTCGACGGTGATATTAAAAACCCCGGGAACGCCTTTTTTCCATAAGGATGGGATAAGCGTGTATTCCCCCGCCGGCAAAGGGGATAGAGAATCCGAATCAGCCTGCCTTTTCGGCACTTTAGGGCTGAGATGCCTAATAAAATCGGTCAGAAAGGCACCAATCAACTGAAGGGGAACTCGATTTTTAGACGATTGGCCGCTAGCTTCTTGGGAAAGGGCACTTAGTGATGGGAGATGGTTTGCCGATTTGGTGGAATCCTGGATGATATCGCGCACGATATTCATAAGTGTGTCCATCAAAGGATCTTCTTCGGTTGTCAGGTCGACATACATGGGCTCGGTATTGACCTTTAGACATACCTCCAGGGTGGAATTTTTGGTATTATCGTCTTTCGAACTTGATACCAGACCCTGATCGAGCGCCAGCATCTCCTTCATATGCTTCGTGTGATCAAACCTGTGATTTCGTATAAATACCTCAGAGTTTGAAGGCAATAATCCAAACCCACTTTTAATAGCGTGAATAAAAATCATGCCGATTTCGTCGTTCTCGTCCAGGTTAGGTATATAAAACTGGTGTCGAGGATAAGATAGGTGGGCGTATTTGATCTCAACCCACAGTTTAGTCAACGGTTTAGCGGCAGGATCTCGGAGCAGGTTATAGGGATCGTAGGAGAAGGTTTGGGGGAGGGCGCTGTCTATTAACGCACCCCCTATCGCATAGAGTTTCGACTTCAACACAAGGTCAACCTCAGTCCTGAGGTTGCCAACACGAGAACCAAACGAGGTGAGAGGCTTCTCAGAGGACGAAACGCACCGAAGCCGGACTACACAAATCCCACACGACTCCGCACACTCGGAAACGGCAAGCCGGGCCGAGAAGAATGCGGGTTTAAAAAGCCTAAAAGTGTATTGCGGGTTATACACAAAAGTCGACAAGTCGCTGCGGCCCCCACAACTTTTTCCCTTCACCCATGCCCCGTTCACCGACGCAGTGTATGGGAGGCTGACTTTGGGAATCCAATGCATACAAACCCCCGACCCCTCCGCCTTTTCGCCGTTGTTTAACCCCAAATATCCCGGTTTATTGGCCGTGGTGGTAGAGGACATCGGCGGGCGGAGCTGCGGAAGTTGGGTATGCAAGGTCACGGTAAAGTTAAACGGCGCCTTCCGCGCGGAAGGTTGGAGTCCCACTACCACCACCAAATCCGTCGTCCCCTCCGGGCAATCCAAACTCGTGGTGTGCGCGAAGGAATTTCGATAAATGGGAGTGTTCAACGGCGCCAAATAAGTCGAAACATCCGACATGCTGCAGAGTCGGCGGCCATTACACCGGCCAAGCCGGCAGCGCCCCCCGATGGATTGCGCGACGGAAGGGTAGGAGGTCAGATTAAACACCTTCAGCGATACAAAAAGCGCGTCCTGGGGTTGATTTTGATCAAATTGCCGTCCAAACTCTCCCACCGCGGTGATATGGCGGGAAAAAACAAGGTGCATGCGGGTGGGCTTTGGGGCGTGGAGCACGCGAAGGTGGAGCTGTGGCATATCCGCAATGCTCGTGGTGTAGGAATAGGTCCCATGGCAGGCAAGGCGGGTCGGCCTCCACGACAACCCTTCCGGGGTGCGATACAACAAATACGGATTCCAGCTCAGTGAGGCGCCGTCGAAATGCCGAATCGCATCTTCCCATTTCATCAAAAACACCCCCCGATTCGCCAGGTCGGTAGTATAGCCGAAGGTCTTATGGACCGCCGCGGCAAGGTCGCTCGGATCCCCGAGGGAAAGTGCGCCCTTCCAGGTCGTGCGGGACCAAGGATTGCGCAGCTGTAGAATTCGGAGCCCGTGGACCTCGCAAATAGCCAAAACCGCATACGCGTGGTCCGGGGTAAGCGGTATCGCCTGCTCACCCACGGAGGCAATGGTGGTTGGCGTCATCAAAGTAATCAACACGGCCCCCGTGGCGAAGCCGTGGTGGAGGCGTTTCCACTGCAGCTCCGGATTGAACTCTTTCGCGGCAAAACTCAGCGAGTCGGGCAGCCATCCGGAGAGCATGTAAAGATCGCTCGCGCTGGTGCTTCCTGGGAACTCGTAGCTCCCGCCGAAGACTTTTACAAAGGCCTTCTCCATCAGCGAAACCCACAGCTCGCGGCGATCTTGACTGTAGGTGCACAGCAGGTCTTTGGAATGAGGATTAGCCGGCAGCCGGTCGTCGATCGTCACGAGCCGTGTGATGCCGTTAATCAACATCTTGACGGCGTACTTTCCTTTCGGATTAATTATCGGGGTCCGCGTTTGGTCCTGCGGGTAAATCACATTACTAATGATTTTTGCGTTGGGGAATCGTTTCTGGTAGCTCGCGCAGATAATGAGGCTGCAGACCATGGAGCAGTCCCCCACCACCGTCTGGGTCACGCCGAGGGGGTCGGCCTGGCAAAGAATCGCGAGATTCGCCGGGTCGGGGTAAAGATCGCAAAGGTGAAGCAGCCGCGCGCCCTTTTGTTTTTGCGTTTGGCTAAGCTGGGGGGTCCATGGATCCTCCCACACCCCCTCGCAGGGCATAAACATGTTTTCCGCCCCATAGCCTTCGTCGAGGTCGTCCCAGCAGGGGAGGCGGATGGTCGAAGTGAGGCCGCTGCCGCGTAGGAGCTTAAGCTCGTCGGGCAAAATCGGATTATCCTGCAGAACCCTCGGCGGGTATGTGGCGTAGTATTTTTCCCGCATCTCCCTCAGAACAGCCTTGACCGCGTCGAGATGGCGACACTTCGCGCGGCCGGTTTGGCGGATCGAACAGGCCTGCTGGAGCACATCAACGGCGCGTTTGAGCTCACCCTGGCGGCATAAACTCGCGGAAAGGTCAATCGCCCGCCAGCCCCAGTCCGGACTTCGCGAACCCCCGGGACGTCTCGCCTGGAAGGCCTTGGAGGATGGCGGGGAGGCCCCAGGGGGGGTGATGGCGCGCTCATTCAACGCCGCTTTTGTGTGGGAAGGCGAGGCGCCCCCGGAGGTCCACCCCGTCCGCTCGGCCCAGGTCTCCTTGAACGCGGGGGCGTTGAGGAAATTGAGGTATTCGTCGTCCGGCTTGTGGAGCCGCGCCGAGGACGGCGGGGCGTCGGCCCCCGGGACCACCGAAGGTCGTGATGTTGGGGGAATCGGCGTTGTTGGGGGGCTCGGAAGGGTGGGGGATTCGCGGCTGAGAGAGCGCAGCTTTTGGATGCGCTTCGCGATATCGCTCAGGGATTGCTTTACCGCGTTGTGCGCGTCCGAGGAAAGCGAGGTATCTTGAAGGGCGCTTTTTAAGATCAGAATCGCGCGCGTGTAGCTCGCCTCAGCACTCTGAAGTTGCTTTTCATTTTCTAATCTCATTGCATTAGTTAGGCATTTTGTGATCGCTTTGTTGTGTGAATCCATTAGAAATCAATCAATCAACCAAAAGGCCGTACATACCTATGATAAAAAAAAAAAGAAAACGCTAAAAAGTGTAATGTGATAGGAATTCGAACACATGTATAAGGAAGATTGATATAAAACTTTTATCCATCAGCATTGGAAAATATTTTGGATTTGAATTATCAAAATGAGTTCGATACTTGTAATATATATATATATATTTGTGTTTGAGTGGATGTGTGAGTGCATTCTGTGGAAACACGGAAAGCAATAGGATATGGGAGTCAAACTACTCCCAATTGAGCAGATTTTCTCTCTGCATTCAAAATTACATATCGGTCAATATAAGCATGAGCATTGAAAATCGCTACAACCAATCAAACTTCGATCGGGTAGGTTCGATGGAGCCATCAACAGGAGAAAATCTGGGCACGAAAAACCATCCTGGAGGATACCAGGCACCTGAAGTTAACATAAAAAAGAACAGAATTTCATAAAGAAATGACTGATAGAACAGCGCGTTTAAAAAGCCGCGGTGATCTTTCCATGCAAGATTATCCCAAATATGGTAATTACAGTATTTGAGGGGCCGACTTCCAACCCAAAAAGGATCCTCATTTCCCATGAAGGGTAGTTTCCCTTTATTCTTTTTCGTCCTAGATCCGGTGCCGATGGCTTGGTGAAAAACCTTGAAAGCATCAATCTGCGAGCGATTGTATTTCATCTCCGGCCACATCGCCCTCCAAATGGACATGGCAAGGTGAAAAGAAGTGTACCCGTCGTAGCGTGCGTTCGCCTCGGGGATATTCCCCTGGATTTGAATTCCCCCGGGAGGAGTCCCTTGAGACTCCACGTGTGGTGTGAGCGCCAATGCGCTTGACTTTACACCACCGCGGGAAGTCCCCAATTCATTTTTCATTTCGACCTCGGCGAGGCGTTGAAGAATCTTCTGCTTGTGAATCACCTGCAGGATGTTGTGCAGGACGACGGGAACCTGCGCGAGGGTGGAGCCGTAGCTCTTCATCGTCGGGAGCCCCGCAGCATCCCCGAGGGCGAAAATGTTCTCATAGCGGCAATGCTGAAGGGTATCGGGGAACACGTCCATAAAGCCCTCCTCATCGCCAAAACAATCCCGCACGGCGGGCATCCTCCGCACCTTTTTCATCCACTCCAAGGCGTTGGGGTGGTCCGCATGATTTGCCATCTTCGACGCCACGGCATGCCACCAACCGGTACTTAGGAAAGAGGGCACGTGTTCCTTTGCGTAGTGCGTTCGGTGAAGACCGCTTTCGCGGATAAAGCTCGGGGCGTGCACCGGAAGATCCAAAAGTATCAACCCATACGGAAGCGAAATCAGCGCATTGTAGGCGTAGTTGTACAAAGTCACTTCATTCTTTAACAAGTCAATATTAATGGGGTAGATGTGAGATAAGAAAAAGAAACGCTGCTCCGCCAAGGTCTTTTCAGGCATCGTGCCATTTTCCAGATCATTGGAAACCGATGTTGGCCTCAACACGCGGTAACTTTTCTTCTGCATCCTCAACCAATGGTCTCGAATGATCTTATTAACTGAGTCCGGCGCGGAACCCATCGGTTCCGCATCGGCCACGATGGTGTAGAGAGTGCAAAAACTGAATTTTGAAAAATCTTCTAAGAACTTCCATATAAGGTTGGTTGAAGAAACAAAAGTGCTTTCATGTTGTCGAGCGGCGTAATGCATATACGGGGCAAAATTCGGTGATGGAGACTCATCGGGATTCGACTCGGACGACAATGCGGCCGCATGGGTTTGACGCTTGCAAGAGCACCATGCCTTGAGAAAGGAGTTTGTGGTGATGGATGGCGTGGGGGCCGCATTCCCATGAGTCTCGTCGGTGCTGGCCTTCTCTGTGAGTGTGGCTAAGAGTGGGAAATAATCATCTTTTTCGAGATTCACCCTAGAGACCGCCTTCAGTTCCTCTTCGCTAACACGGATCGCTGGAGGTAGCAGCTTCTTTCGGATCGCTTCGATTTGACTGACAAAAGAAGCGGGGGGGACTTTAATGTGGAGCACATTTCCTTTAAACAAGTGAACGAGGGAGTCCCGTGTTACGCCAGGGTTCACCGCAATGCGATAGGAATCCAAACTCTCGATACTCAGGGAGTTCTTCAGCGGTCCCAAATCGCGTTGAGCCCCCGAGGCGACCACAAGGACGTCATAGGGGTAGGACACACACCCATCCGGGAGGAAAATGGTCCCGTCCGAGTTTCGCGTGATTGGCGTCGATCCGCGCGTGAGCCGTCGCCACCATGGCGACGAATTCTCAGTCTCCTTGTTCGAGATGGCGCCTTTCGGGTTCGCGAACCGCCCTTCCGTCTCCACGCGGACGATGACCTCTTGCGAGTCCGGCCGGACCTTCAGGACCTCGCCGAGCACCATATCCGCCCGCCGCGTGATATTCCACGTGACGGGGGAGGTCAAGAAATCCACCCCGCCCGTCGTGTTGAGGTCGTAGCTGCGATGCCCGACGTGGGCAAGGGGGACAATGCCCTGAAAGACCTGCCGCCGGCTCCGCTCGACGACGGTCACGTGAAGTTCGGGGTCGGCATTGCAGAGCGTCGCGGCCAACGCGCAGCCGCCGAGGCCCGCGCCCAAAATCACCACCCGCCGGTCCTGATGCTTGCGGCTGAGCTCGAACTGCGATTGCCGCTCCCGCCCGCGCATTTTGCTTATCGTGATGAGCACGGCCGAGATCAGAATCACAACGGTAATTATCGTGGTCGTGTAAAGATCCTGCTTCGAGCGATCAAAACTGAAGTGATTCCGCCGCTTCGACTGAGGTAGCTTCGGGAGGTACATTTGCGGTCAACGTCTCAGATGGTCCTCAGCACTCTTTTTGGTATGGTGGCACCGTGTGAGTTTGGGTTATGTATGGGAGGTTTTGAAGGGGGTGGGATAAGAAGTTGGAGTGAAAATTGGCCATAGAGAAGTAGGAGGGGACAGGTCCCAAAAGGTTCAACCCTGTTTAAGCGGTTCAGGCTCACTGCCTTACCCAGAATGCACATTATTTGTTGTATCGATTTATCGAACTTCTCGAATGTGAAGAAGTAGTCTACATCAAATAGCCGAGTTGAACTCGAAGCAACACATAATGCTTTCAGTTTTTCCTTTCTGCTTGCAGTTGTTGTTCATATTACATTCATTCATATATATATATATATATAAAGAAAGGAATGTGGTTTAAACTCGTCTTCAAGGCGGCGGGGACGACGGTCGGCGCCTCGCATTCCGATGTCTCTCCTCAAGTTCAGCTCGAGACTTTTCCACGATCAATTCTAGATCGTTATTTGCAAAGAGATCAGATAAATACAACACCGCATCTTCAGGCTGATCCTTAAGAAGTCTGAATATAGCGATTTGGATTATCTCAGTGATTTCGCTATGGGCTCGAAGATATTTAGACTGCTCAATTTGTTCAGTAATGAGTGACTCATGAAGTTTTTCCTTTTGCTTAGGGTTTAATACTGTATCCGCAGCCTCAGAAAGGGTGCGCTCTGCAGTTGGTTGCGAGAGGTCAGTGGGGTTCATTTCCTTGTATTTTTCGCGCTAATTTAGGTAGCTTAAAGTACTGCCCAAGCTGAACGGAGCTCTGACCTTAGCTTAGACGCAATAATATTACTAAAAAATATGTGTGAAATAAGAAATAATCGCAGAGAAAATAAAATTTAATTTTGTGTAGCTGAGAAAAAGGAAAAATATAGTAGTCTACAACCACAATGTTATTGGGAATATCAAAATGAATAAGAATAAATTTAAAAGAACGCTGGAAGCGTTTCGAGAAAGAAATGGAACTGCTTCATAAAAACAGATGTACAAAAATACTTATCGAAAGAAAACACATGTCGTGTGTGTACAAAACAATCTAAGAATTGGAATAAAAATCTGATGTAAAATCTATTACGGCGTTTTTAAAAAGAGCAAGTAAATGTTAATATATATATATATATATATATTAACATCGATACTCTTGATTGTGATTAAAGCATCGTTTAAGGCACTGAATCGACCTATTCAGTTGCCCTTCCCGCAAACTCCACACGCACGAAGGTGAACCTCTCTAGTGAGACCACTTCTGCCGCGGTGGTGGTCGTTTATTCTTAAAATTATCAGTATTATGATTTTCCTAAGGTACACCATCTCTTCATCTGCTCACCAAAGGGCAGTTTTCGGCTCAATGTGCGGCACTCGCGCTTTGCCCGTGCGTCTTCGCCGATCAATTGAATGCTGTGAGCCGACTTCGGGAGTAGCAAAGCCGGGCACCTCGCTGACCTTCGAACTCCTCTCGTCACCCCTGATGTGGGGCTTTTCAGGCAGCGGTGAAGGGGTCCCGTCAATGTTGCCGCCAGAAGTCGCTTCGCGAGAGGGTGTACGCCGCGCTGTGCGCATCATAGCCTCAGTGGGGTCTCCAATTACTACGTGATCCTCCTGGGCGCGCGCGTTAGGGAAGCGCGCCTTTCCCAGTCCCCCTTCCGCGCGCTTGGCGGCGCCGGAGAAGTCCGCATAGGTCGAGGGGTCGATGCGGCGACGCCTCGACAGCCTCGCGGCCTTTATCGCCTGTGCGCGATCCACATGCGGGAGGTCAGAGCTGGGTCGTTTCACCCCCAGACGTGGGGACGTGCGCGAACTCGGGCGGCCCTCGCGAGAAACGCCCCTCGCTGGACTCGCTACCAGGCTCTGAGCGGTGGGTGCATGACAGCGCTGCAGCGTCGGTCGCATAGGGAAAAAGGAGAGAGGTGGGTTAAGAGATGTAACAGAAATCACTGCAAAAGTGCAAAGTGGTGAAGTAGTGCCAATGAAGCTTGGTTGAGGAGTTATCTGAAGTTAAATCGGAAACTAGGGAGAGGTATGTAGAAGCTAAAGTAATAAATAAATTGAAAAAAATAATGGGGGAAATTTATACGGGAATAGACAATAGAGAAAAAAAAGACAAGAATTTCCATCTGAAATACAAGAAGGGAGGAAAGGAAAGCGTAATGTGTGGCCAATAAAAAGAGGCCGGTGGTTCTGGGTACAGCGCATCAACCCGGAGAAATGCACCAACGCTTCAAACGACAAATCGTGTTAACAATATGGAAAGCAACCCTCTAGAGTTTTGCACTTCAAAAAGGCTTGAGCCATGCGTATTATGTCATCATCACAGATATTTTAGCATTTGACAATGTATTTCACTTCGATTAACTGGGGGATTCGTCATTCTCCGAATGCCTTACTTGTGTAGTATCGATTATGCACTCTGCCCGTACCTGTAATAACATTGAAAAAAATCAGACTTCTCGATATATCTCAATGACAAAAAAAAAGGTGATCCAGTTTTGACTCATTGCGTATCCACCCCTCCGAGAATTCTCTTGATGCTTAATTCCGGTAATCTTTACACAAAAATAAAGTGTAGAGGTATCAGGAAATGTGAACTTGAGTCAGGTGAATAGGTCCTATGTTCTACAGACAAAAAGACACAGATAAAGTATTCACAGAAACTTTAGGAATGCCCAGATAAAATAAAATTTCTATTCATATTTCCATGACTCAAAAATTGACCCCTTTGAAACTTTGATGTTCTGAAAATATTGAAAGAAAAATAACAGACAGAAAGTGTTAATTCACAAAGATATGAAATTTTAAAAAGCCTCAATAGATATATTTACAGAACAAAAAAGTTGTTGTTACAGTATCTTTTTGAAATAATTCCGGAGCTACATAATGCAAATGTTTTTTTTTGAGAGTTAAATTAGAATACATCACGCACATGTATATATGCATAGACAGGTAGATAGATACAGAAATCTTCAAAACTAAGAGCTTGAAAATGATCTCAATTTTTTTTTCCCTCAGCTGCGAATTTTGTAAGAGAAATCCATCTTCCTGAGCCCGCGTCATCGCCCCCATCTCCTTCTTTCATTCCTGAACATCATTGAAAAGTAAACAAGGAGATTACCAAAGATCTATGCATTACAACGCCGAAAATGAAAGTGGCAAGAATAAATGATAATTGCTTCAACATTAAGCGCTCTACTTGAGCTTTATTTCCGGTATTTATCTTCCTCTTCCTAGTTTGGATGAAATGCTAACACAAAACGATAAATACACATGTAAACCTATTCCATCAGGCTCCACAGAAATAAATCGTGTAAATAATAAATAATAAAAATCAACATTGTAAGAGGTAAGATCTACCTTAGTCAACAAAAAGCAACCTTTTTTTCTTCACTGCACATTGCAAATGGATACTAATGATAAATTTCTAGTTAGGGTTGAGCACCAACCTATCGAACCCGGTATTCCGCTGCGATCCCATGATATTCTGAATATCAATATCCAGACTGTTCCTTTTTTCAATGTTGGAGTTTGCCTCCGAGATCATTGCCTGATGCTTTGCGTTGAGAAGCATCTTCAGATTATTAAAAAGCCCGACCTGCTGTACGCCGGTGGTATAACTATCGTTGATATCCCGATGTTTAACCTGGAGCCACTTAATGCGATCCTCCAAATTGCGAGTTGTTTGCGTGAAGTACTCAGTATAGGATTTGAAATGACGATCCAGCGAAGGGCCGACGTTCGAGCGAAAATTGCCCTCGTCGTGGACGAACTTCAGCCTCGCGTCCTGCAGAATCTTCTGGGAGTGTAGACGGTGGTACATGGACTCGTTCAACGCGACCGCCTCCTTCGCGCGCGTGACCTGCTCATCCAAATTGCGCATATTCTCCGTCAAAAGCGCCTCGAGGTGGTCGTAGGTCATCTTTTTCGAATTCCACAGCTCGTCCACCTCGGCCGCGGTTTGTCGGACGCTTCGCAGCTCATTAATCAGCGGTGCGAGTCGGTTTCGCCCCTCGCGGATGGCGAGGTTAAAATCCTGCACGACACGCGAGAGCTCCTCCAGGGTCTTACCTTTCATCCCCTCGATGACGTTTTTCTCCTCCGTGAGTTTGGAAAGCACCTCGACGGTGCGGCCGTAGCCTTGAAGGCCCATCTTGCTCTCCAGGTCGGTAATCGTATCCTCGAGTTCTTTATATCGCCCCTGGAGAAGCTCCTTTGTGAAGACCAGAATCCCCCACTCCGAGTGCATCTCCGAAAGCCGCTGCTTCATCCCTTCCGTCACTGCCTTCTTGGCGCGAATTTGGGCAAAAAACTCGCGAAATTCATCCTCACTAACCATATTGCTCGCATCCCGAAGTTCCGCAATCTGCGCCTCCCGCTCTCGGATTTTTTCGAGGAGTTTATTCCGATTGCTTTGCCAATTGCCTAGTTCATTTAAGACCTCCGTCTTGTGCGCGATCACGCGCTGAACCTGCTGCTTCATCGTCGCGATCGAGGAGCCGTCCTGGCTCGGGGCCGAACGCTCGTCGATTTTCGCCTTCAACCCGCGCAGGACATCCTCCAAGTTTTGATTTTCGCTCGCCAACGCCGTCATGTCGAGCGGCTCCGACAGGAGCTTCAAAAGCTCCTCGTTTTCCTTCTGTTTGGCATCCAGCTCGAGCGGTAATTGCTCCTCGAGCTTGATTTTGTTTGAGAGGATCTCGTCCTTCATGCGGCGAATCATCGCATCGACGCGGCCGTCCGCGGCGTCGCGGTGGAGACACTGCAAACTATTGCTGATCTCCGTCTGCCGGACCTCGGCGTAGAGCATCGACTGCTGGAGCTCCACGAACTTTTCCGCCAACTTCGAGCTCTCCTCCTGCCCCGCGCGGAGGGTCTTACTTTCGGACAAAAAAAGCTCCTTGTTCTGCACATTCTCCAGGCGCTTCATCGCGGCCTGGAGGTAGTCCTTGAGGTGGGTGTTTTCCTCCTCGAAGGCGGCGACTTTTCGCCGGGTCTCCTGCGGGTCCGTGATGGCGGTTTGCAGGGCGTCGACCCGGCGGTGGGTCTGGATGAAGGCGCTGCGGAGCTGCTGATATTGCGCGTAGAGCACGCGGACGTCCTCATCCTGGGCCTGAATATCCTCCGGGATCTCCAACGATTGCAGGAATCGCGAGAGGTAAACCCGCTTCTTGTTGATCGCCATGTGCGTTAAAACCCAATACAGCATGGGATAAATCACGGTCGTCTCGGCCTTGGCGAAGCTCTCGTGGAAGGTGCTCTGGATGAGCGGCGGGACACGGTAGCCGAGGGGTTTGAGCAGGAATTCCGTCATGAGGGGAAGATAATTTTCGGCCGGGGTGGACTCGAGATCGATCCGCAGGCTCGGCTGCAAGGTCGCGAAGACGTCGTTGACGACTTGCAGAAGTTTAACGGGCCCCAAGGCGTCGAAATCTACCAAGGAATAATTCCGCTGGAGAAGGGTGTTGATGTGGTCGACGACGTACTGCAGGAGGTCCCCCGCGGTGAGCTCCGCCGTCGACGGGGTGTTCGGCAGCTCCATCGGGTTGAGGAGGGAGTGGGGGCTGCTGTTGACCGTACTCACGGAGGTCTGTCGCGTTGAGGAGGCGGTGCCAATCATTTTATTTATTTTTTTTTTAGGGGGAAGGGAAAAAAAAAATAAGGTAGAATAAAATAGGGTCGGACTTCTTTTTTTTTTGTGTGTGTGTGGGGGGGGGGGGGGGAGGGGGGAGGAGAGAGGGGCGGAGGGCTTTGTTCGTCCCGTGAAAGGTGGAAATAATACAAAAAAAAGCTGCGTAGATTCTAAGTGCGTTTCAATTGATGGGCCCGTGAAAGAATAATTTAGGTGGGAAAGAAATCAAGAATTAGACTTTTCACATTTTCACTTAAATAAAGATGTTAAATAAAGCATATTTCACCATTTAAAAGTATCCGATATGACATGATAAATCAAACGGTTGAAGTTTTATTTTTAGCAAAAGTCCTAGTGAGGATAAATTGAATAATCAATTGAGTAGTTTTTTTTTGGTCATTTTAATCAAAACCGAAACGTTTTTCATATATCTGGGATATTATCACAAAAGGTAGTAAAAAAAACAACAGTATCTGTTCTGATGAAAATGCCAAATACATGTATGCGTTACTCCCTACTATACTAAGCAACACACACAAAAAAAAATAAAAAGAAAGATCGTTTGCAGGATATGCACATCCAGATTTCCTTTTCCTTAACTTCGCTTTAGCCGCACGAGGCATCGATCGAGAGCGTCGTATGGCTCGTTTAATGGTGGAATAAAGGCCCCGGAAGGGGTCAGAAAACACCCCAACGGGGTTTTATTCGGCCCATCCCACGCCTTGGCGACCTCCGCCACCGCGCCGACGAGCGTCGTCGAATCCCGCAGCCGTGCCTCATCAAAGCTCGCCAGATCAAACTCCTCGGCGATGGCGGATAAATAACTCAGACACTTCTCATTGGACGGCACGGCCGTACTAAAGCGCTCGATAATCTGAGGGTTGACGGAGAACTCGGTGTTCTGAAGGCTGATGTCGATGAACTCCTTGCCGAACTTCGCCTCGAATGCCTTGCGGACGGCATGGAGCTCAGGGGCCTTGTCCGCTACCCGTACAGAGGCCCAAATAACAGAGGAAATGGCCTCCTTGAGTTCGAGTGGATAACTTGTGGAATTACTACGACGACCACCGGCGCGCTTTCCCGCCTCCCACTCCGCAATAAGCTGAACCCGCTGCGAAAGAAGATCCAGAAAAAGGGAAAGCACCTCCATCCCTTCAATACAAAGATCATCCCGAATGCACGCCTCGACATTTATGCGCGCACTATCGTATTTATCATTAGACAATAACTCCGCAATCCCACGCCGTTGGGCTTTGAGGTTGTTGCTAAGCTTTTTCCTTTGGATACCGATACGCGTGCTGGCCATACGTAGATTGGCCTTGACCTTGCTTGCGTCAAAAGAAGTGTTCAACTTCATAAAGCTATTCATTTTGGATTTTATTCCTCTTTAAGCGTCTTTGAAGATAACTGCAATTATCTACACTATAAAAGGTAGATACGTTATATATATATGTATTGATATTGAATTTTGAGAAAAAAAGTATCGAAATGTGAAAGGTAACACCTATTGCACCTTGAACAATCCTTCATAAAGATGCGAATGGAGACAAAAAATCGCGCTTAAATTCCATTTACACTCCATTACTGAATTGGTCATTGAAGATCACGAATAACGAAAGGGTAAATCCTTTAAATTGACACGATGGTCAAACGATTGGCATTCTAAAATTAATTCGCTTAATAAATTAAATAATAATAAGGAAAAGTATAGCACGTAATGAATATCGAAATAGTTTGTAAACTCCTTTTTCTCGCAGGGTTCGCACAGAAACCCCTATATAGAGATGATAAGCAATTAACATCGGCTATTTCGCATTTTCTATAGAGTGTCCTCTTCTAGAGGTGGCATGTCGTCATCATAGTCAAGCGCATCGTCTTTGCCCGCCGCCGCGGCATCTTTCATCGAGCCGAAAGGGGGAATTTGCGATTCGTCGAATCCAACAGCCTCGGCAGCTTCTTTTCGCGCGTTCATCCGGAGCGCCTGAAGATCCAACTCGTCCCCTTCGCCGATGCCGAAGCCGTCGTTCGGATCATCCTCCATGTCATCCTCCCGCCAGCGATTCCAGTCGATTTTAATATTTTTATTCTTCATGGGCATCTTCGTCAGGCGCGGCCAGCTGGTCTCGTCCTCTTCGGGGTTAGCGTCCGCTTTTAGGGCGAGTTTTTTAAGTTTAATCTCGACCTGACGTGGCCGCACGACGTGGTGGCTTTCTTCCGCCGAGACGGGGTGGTAAAGGGGGAGGCTGCAGCGGTAATGCTTTCCCGACTCGCCAGCGCCGGTGGGAGGGGTATCACAGGAAAAAAAGAAGGTATTCCCATCGTCGGGGAGCTGGAGCTTGACATTCTGGCAATCCTGCAGGAAAACGGTTATCAATATGTAGTCCAGTCTCTGAGCCCAGAGCAACGGGGGGAAGAGGGTGTTATCGGAAGTCATCAATACAATGGGTATGGCAAATGTCCTGCGATGTATTTCTTTTCTTTTTTTTTTTTTTTGTGTGTGTGTGTGTGGGGGGGGGGGGGGGGGAGGGATGCTCCAAAAGAGAAAATGGAATTCAGAAAGCGTTAAAGAATGCCTCCATGTGTTCAGAAGTGGTTTATTTTTTTCGGGGAAGGGGAAAATAATTGAGATTAAGTCAATATAAACTATAAATATTAACAATAAACTCTATGCTACATTACTAAAACATCAACAAATAATAATAAAGACAAAAATGCTGAGCTGAATTCAATAATTCATATTCTCAAGTTTCGAATTCAGCTACTAATCAATCGATCCACTAGGATTCTATAACTTTTATTTTGCACTTTTTTAAAATAGATGCCGTAAGATAGCGAGATGACAAACTTTACCCAGGGCATATAATGAGATATATTGTTATTACAACGATAATAGAAGTAACTAAGACTACAAATTCAGATACAGTAGACTCATAAACATTCTTTTTTATTCTTTTAAAGTAAGAAATAATAAACAAATCAATATACTTGGCTTTGAAATGATGAAAAAAAAAATGAGATATGACAAGCTTTCTGAGTTTATATGCTACTTCCACACATGGTTAAAAAAAAATATTTCATGATAAAACGCATAGTATAAAATTTCTATATAGATTTCTTAACTAAAATGTGTTGATGTAGATATTTTAGCCGCAGTAAAGCGCGATGTGAAACCGTAAACGTCTCCTTCAATAAACAACTCAGTCATTAGCGGATGCACTTCAAGTGTGTATATTTCACCCATTTCCGGATCATCCACAATCTTGGTTTTCCCAAGTGTCTGCACGTTTCCAACCTCGGTCATAGAGACCTTAACGGTCATAATATTATCTTTAGTATCATTATAAAAGCCCCAACGACGGTTGATGGTATCCTTCAGCCTGAAGAGCAGCCCATTACCGTAATCCTTAAAACACTTGTGAACTTCATCCGCCTGGATGACGTTGGGATCGGGGGCGCCGTTCTCGTACTGCGGCTTCACAAAGTCCTCGGGATCACGCACGGGGGTGGCGGCAAAGGTCGTTTCGATGCCCTTTGGATTCCCGATAATAAACGGCACCGTCCCCAACGGCGGCACCTGCACCGTCAAGAGCATCTCCCCTTCCGCCTCGTTGTGAGTTCGCTCCACGCCGGGGGCGATCTGGACGTCCTCCGTGGCGGGAATCCGCGAGTTCACCGTCATGACAAAGTCCGCGGTGTCGTTATAAAAGGCCCAGATCTTGTTCACGTCGTCCACGATTCGGAAGAGAAGCCCGTTGCCGTGCTCCTTAAAGCACTTGAAGACATGGGACTGATTCGGGATAATCGCCGGGTCGGGGCTCCCGTTCGCAAAGGCGATATCGCTCTCCCCGAGCTTGGGAACCGGCTCGGCGGCGAACCCGAGTTTGTACGAGGTGGGGGCGCCCGAAATAAACATCTCCGTCTGGCCAGGGCCGATCTCGAGAACGTAGACCACCCCGTCCGGGCTCGAAGAGGGGGTAAACGAAACCGTCGTGGCGTTTAGAGGCGTGGCCTCGCTTTTGTTGGCGAAATCGACGGAAACCGTCATGTTGTAGTCCTGGGTGTCGTTGTGGAAAGCCCAGGTGTTGTGTTTGTTGTCCACCAGCCGAAAGAGAAGCCCGTTGCCTTTGTCCTTAAAGCACTTGTAGACCTTGTCGTAAGGCACACTCGGGGTGCGGAACTCGAACTCGACGTTCTTCGCCGGCGCCGACTCGGAGTAGAACTCGATCACATAACCGTTGATTTGGCCTTTAATAAACAACTCCGTGGAGCAGGGCTCCACCTCTAGAAAGGCCTCGCTGTCGTACCGCTTGGACGAATTCACCTCCGTCGAGTTTCCGGGTTCCGGCTCGGCGGGCTTTGGGAGCTTCACAAGGCGCGTTCGGTCTAAGGCCTGAACATCACTACCACTGCTAAAGCGAGCCTTGACCCTCACAATATTTTCGGTGCTGTCGTTGTAAAATGCCCATTCCTGAGTTTTGGTATTCACAAGTCGGTAAAGATAATCATTATTATCAAAACCCGCGTAGCACTCGTTAAATTCAAATTCTGGAAACCCATTCCTAAAGTCAAGCTGTTTATGAGGTACCAAAGTTGACATTGTACAATATTTATATACTTTTACAATGTAATAACTTGATTAAGTATATTGTGAATGATTATTTTTTGTTTAAAAAGGGTAAAGCCTGAAAGTTCACTTCCTTTTCTATTTGAGTACAGCAAAATAAATGATAAACAAAGGTATTAATAAATAATTTTAAATAACAAATCAAAACTTATCAGATTATAAGGGTAAAAACATTTAAGAAAGGACAAAGATAAAGAAATAAGTAAAAAAAAGGTGCACGTTAAAAGAATTATCATAAACATTGGTCAAAAATGGAAAAATACTTGTCATGATAATAGGATTTATACAAGATAATTATAATTACTGAATAACACTATATCCTTTTTTTTAATATTGTAGAATATATATTTTTAATTCCATCATGGACAGATTTCCTAACAGTGGTACAACATGAATGCCAAAAACACAAGAGACAGTATAATCAAGGAGTAGGGTACCGGCTATTTTATATCTTCAGAATGATTCGAACTAACGACTTGTCCATCTATTCATAACAATACTACAGATAATTTCTAAAATAAAGCATATATTCCAAGAAAAATAACTCTGAAATGAAAAATCTGGCGAGATAATTAGCATCTAAAAAAAACTATACGATGATATTTGGATATAAGGCCAATCAAAGACACCAGAAATAAAAATGAATTCATAACCTTAAAGTATAAATGAGTATGAAAAGTCAACCCATTTTGTTATAAACAGTTTGTAAGCATGAGGAAAGGAAAAGCTAAATGACGATGAATCAAAAAAGGAACAAAAATATACACGACAAGTAAAGATGATATTAGTCACATATTCAATCTTAACACATTTCAAAAATAAAGCTTAATTTTCAAGAGAATGAAAAAATAAGCTCAACTGTGCATTCGATTTAATTATGTGAACAACTGACAAAATACGCGTATATATCTTTCATGATATGTTCCCTATTGATTCAATTATTAATTTTTGATTAAAGAAAAATTTTAATATATGAAGTTCACAAAAAAAAAATAACAATCTCATTTGTAAAAAAATGCTTTG